AAAATATACACCACAAAGCATTCCCTGGTTCAAAACCTTCTACATCAGCAGTTTAACCTGTGGGTCATGACCCCTTTGGGAAGGTCAAATGACCCTTTCACAGGGGTCGCCCGATTCATAACAGTAACAAAATTACAGTGATGACGTAACAACGAAAATAATTTTATGGTTGGGGGGTCACCACAACACGAGGAACCGTATGAAAGGGTTGCAGCATTAGGAAGGGTTGAGAACCACCGCTCTACATTGATTATAATCTGTTGTGCAACCATTATTGACATGCTTTTCAAATGATCCCACCACCATAAACATAAATCCAGTGCCCCTTAGCAAAAGCTCTTCCTCCTTCGCCCATTGCCTTTTGTTTTTAATGGAGATGTGATTCTCCCCCAACGAGGGCACCACTGTCAAGGGTTTAATTCTGCACTTTTCAGTACATGCACAGCATCGTCTAACCACCACTTGGATGTAGCTCCAGAACAGCGCCCCCCCCCAAAGGAAACCCTGTCTCCATTCACAGCCACTCCCCTTCCTACTCAACGTCCTTCTTGGGATTATTGCTCCATGGATTTGCCTCTGGGGACACTTCATGGCAGAGCCCTGGTGTGGTGCTGCCTTAGAGCTACAGCTGGTAAGCTTGGGGATGGGGGTGGGGCAGTCTAAACTCACCCGCTGCCCTTTGAGAGGGAGGGGGGGCAGAGCCCCTCTGTCTGATGGGGTCAGTCTGAGTCAGACTGGACTCCTCGGCAGCGGGGTCAGCGAGTTCATGTCGCTGGAGTCAGACAGTGAGCGGCTGGTTCTTTGCTGAGCAGGATGTTTTGCCAGGCTGATGCTGGAGCACAGAGCAGTGCTCCAGGCAGGAGAGAGATGAGACTGCTGTTTCCCAAACCCCTGTGTGAGTCAGAATGGACTCTGAGATGGCCGTGGGCAGGACGTTGTGTTTATCCATTCATCCATCGACGGGCATCTGCCTTGCTTCCACCGTGATGCAATGCACCATCAGGTCCAAGTTTTGACACAACTCAGTTTTCACTCTCTGGGGTATGGGCCTAGAAGAGCAATGTAAGTCGTCTGGTAATTCTGGTCAGGTCACTGTGGAAATCCTCTTGGGGTAACGTAGCAAACCAATTGGCCCCGGCTGTCCTGCTCTTGCCTTATGAAAACCCCAGAGCGTGAGACCAGGGAGGCGCTCGAGGGAGGTCGGCGGCTGGGGACAGCACCGCGTCTTTCAGCAGCAGCACCTCTGGGAGTGCTGGACCTCCAACCGTCCCATTCTCCCTGGAGCACATGACAGCTTGTACCAGCCAGGACTCTTGGTAAAGCTGATCTCACCCAAACTCACTGCCGACTGGGAGCGACCCTATAGGAGGGTGGACTTGCCCTGTGAGTTTCCCAGACTGTAAATACTTACGGGAGTGGACAGCCCTGCCGAGCTGCTGGTGGTTTCGAACTGCTGGCCATGTGGATCGCAGGCAGGTCAATGTGCAACCGCTGTGGCGACAGGGTAAAGCGGGTGGTCAGCAAGAATGAGAGCAACCCTCAACGCAATGGATTGACCCAAGAGCCACGCCAATGGATCAAAAACACCGAAGACCTGGAGAAGAGGGTGACGCGCCGCACCTAACGTCACCCTGAGTTGGAGCCAGCTCTGAGTCACTCACAGCAATCACACGGTGGTTCTGCGCTCGACTTCTCGAAGAACCAGCAAGCCCTTTCCGCAGCAGCGGCACCATCAGCTATTCCTACCAGCAACGTTCCAAAGTGCCCGTGTTCCCACATCCTCACCAACACTTGTTGCAATCTCTCTCTCTAAGCACAACCCACCTAGTGGGTGTGATGTGACGGCTCACTGTGGTTCCGACATGAATTTCTCTTTAGACTAATGATGAGCATCTCTCTTGGGTTTGCTGGCCACTTGAGTCTGTCGTCTCTGGAGAAATATCCGTTCAGGGCCTCCGCTCATTTTCCAGTTGGGTTTCGGCATGTGACGGAGAGGAAACCGAGGCTCCGGAAGGGGATATGACTGGGTCACGAATGCTGGGCTAGAGCCTGGAACCGGCGCATGGGGCAGCCCCGTGCAGCTCTGCGC